TCACAGCCACATATGGTTGTGTTACTGCACTCAGGATTACTGCCTCCCAAAGGCGAAGAGGCATAGCTGCGAAAACTGAGGTTGAGAGTGGTCAAACTTTATAATTGATAAAGTTGTAATAAGTAATAAAATGCCTTTTTATTCTTTTTTATGACATTTTATGACACCGATGGCATGTGCATCAGTGTCATACTCCAGCTCTCTTGCTTTAGCTGTCTAAGCAGCTCCACCTCAATGAAAGTCTGAGAAGCAAAACAATAAGAATAAATTATAAAACAAAAAACTTGATAATACTGTGTCCTTAGCTACTGTTGGAATAATGTTTTAATTAGAAAATAACACAGAAAGTTTGATCAAATGAGGGTGAAAAGGTTGCAGATGTCAAATAGTAACATTGCATTTCATTGAGGCGGAGCTAATTTTTACTTTGTGATTCAATAATGTGTTTCTTCCTGTGAAGCAGAAGTATAAAGTAGATAAATAGTTTACAGTTATCCTATATCATTAACTTACTATGCAAGTTTTACTTTAATATGTGCATTTTTATTAAGTGAATGCAAAAAGCCTGAAATTTGTGCAAATATGTAGCCACTGTGTTTTGGCTCAGGGCAGATTCGAGCTGGAGAAGGCAGCAAGGGTCTGATTATGAGTCTGTGTCAGAGGCAAAAAGAAGCAGAGTCATGCAATGTGCAAATGCAGCAGAAAGTACTCCAACCTGGCATGAGAGTCCACATCTCATATATGGAGCTGAGAGAACAGCATGACAATAAATCCTTTTCTTCCATCTCTCTCTCTCCAGGGAGCAAAATATGCTGACACAAAACAGCAGGGAGATGAAGAGAGAGAAAACATTGAAACAAATAAAAAAAACAAGTAAACAAATGGCATGGAAGAGTAATTTCTGTATTTGCAGGGGCGAGAGCGCTTTGCATGTCAAGATTCTTATGCCAGTGGAAGTTTGCAACTGAGATGACAAGAAGAGATTTTCGGCTTTTTCCTGGTAGTGCACGTTGAGAATGTTAAAAGGCTGAAAGGCGGCTCGAATCTCATTGGTAAAGCAAGCCTTGTCGGAGTTTAGAACTGCTTGCCAGCACGTTATTAGGCTAAGATAATTTCTTAAGGCAATCTCTCCAAACAAAAGTGCACAAAGTGAATGCATACACAATCACAATGTAGCTTTTCTGTATGTTACTGTCCCTGCTGGATTTCCAGACATCTTATAATGACAGTCATTTTCATCACACACCATCACTTTCTACTTTGCCAAGTCACTTCTTTTGTTTAGAGCATGTGCTTTGGATGCAGATGGCTGACATCGCCGTTCAACGTGTCCTAAATCTTGCTTTGAAACACGATTTATAGTCAGAGATTAGACATGCCAAGCACCTAAGAACTTCAAACATGTAGAGGATGATGAAAAGTGCAGAAGGAGCAAAATGTATTATTTTTATTCAACATTATCCATGTGCATTTTTCACACCAGCCATTTTAACTTGTCATCGTGGGGAAAGCACAGGTGTTACTAACAATATTAAGCATGGCTTTGTTCCTTTGAAGTGTCCAGATGAGTCACGGCAGTGCGGCTACCTTGACAGACTCATGGTTAGGTTGTAGCATTTTCAAAAACCACTTTCTTGCTGAGAGGGAGTGCAGATGCCACTGCACTGTCTGTATTCTAAAACAAGCTTTGATATGCGCACAATTAAAGACTGAATCTTTTTTTTAAATAAGGCTTTAAGGCCCTGTTATTGTGCTAAGTCAGTTTGCTGAGACGCTTCCAAGCACAATATTCATAGCTCTCTGAATTCTCCACATAAGTAACATTTGCTTCCAAATTGCTAACTAGACATATGGTGCTCTTTAAGAGCTGTGATTTGTTAAGATGCATCCATCCATTCTCTTCTGCTTATCCTTATAAGGGTCGCAGAGCCTATCCCAGCGATCATAGGGTGAGAGGGAGGGTACACCCTGGACAGGTCGCCAGTCTGTCGCAGGGTTTACACAGAGAGACAGATAACCACACACGTTTAGAATCACCTATTAACCTAACTGCATGTCTTTGGACACAATATAGTATTATGTAATACTCATAGTGAAAACATTACATTTGATGAGTACTTGCCCTATAGCTGTTGGGATTGGCTCCAGCTCTCCCGTGACCCTGGATTGGATAAATGGCTAAGGAAATAGATGAATTTGCACAGGCCGGTTTTGCTAACATACATAGTCACCACCCAAAGCCCTGTTCTGAGCCAGGAAAAACTCTGGAGCTCACTGCTGCTGCACACTTTCAAAATGCTTTGGCTTAGCCTGAAGTAAATATAGTAGTCCTAAATTGGCATTTATACATTTTACTTCTCACTGACAGAATGCTTGCTGCGAAACAGAGCGAATATTGGGATTCCACAGAATTGTCATTTGTCCTTCTGAGGTCTCTTGTTTTATTGCCTGTATCCACTTTGTCTCCTTAAGGCTCAGTTTTTCGGTTCAGCAGCTTGCAAAACTTAGTTCTGGGTTCTTTACCCTTGTGGTAGTGCACCACACCACACTGTAGCTTTTAGGCATTTTCTTCCCTTTTTTCTATTTTTTTGCAAAAGCAGTCTTCATATAGAGCAAAGTCAGTTGAGAGCCATGAATTGTTTTCCTGTCTCTATATGCACATGATTAAAAAAAAATGGCTGTATTTATTGTCCAGTGAATTTCAGTCATGATTTGTTTTATTTCCACCTGTAATGTTCCCAGTATGACTTGGCAGAATATGTTCTAATGAAATGAGCCATTCTCCTGCCAAACAACCATTTGCACAGATGTTAGATGTGGTACCTTTAGACATATAACATCTGCGCGCTAAAATGCAAAACATCAAAGTTGTAAAATGATAAGACACCAACAATTTGGCTAAGAGATAGACATACATGGAGCCACGCAGATACAAACAAAAATAAACAGCACAGCTGAATGACCAACACAGCTAGGCAGAAGCTAGCTGTCCAAACCTCTGAGGGTTGTGCTCTATTTCTGTTTACCAGAGTGGAGAGGCCATAAAGCAGAAAGGAGAGCCATGCACTGTGGCTCCTGTCATGGCAGCCAGGTACCAAGCCACTGTTGCGGCAAGTTGATAAGGTGGTTTTTCATGGGGTACAACCCAGGCTGCCAAATCAATCCCCAAGAGAGCACAGAACTACAATCGTCACAGCACAAAATGTGAACTCTGGCGAAAAAAAGATTAAAACTCATACAGTTAATACATTTTGTTACTGAGCACAGGTTATCTTAACTTTTCACAAAAACTTTTAGAGAAACTGTCAAATTTTAACCTTTTTATCCTTGCAGATGCAAAGAAGCAAAAGAAGGAAGGCAAGAAGCGAGAGCGCACCCAAATGGCTGATGAGCTTGTTTGAGCCGGTGAAGAAGGAAGAAGACAGCGGAACAGACGGCCCTATTTCAACATGGTTCCTCTTTACGTGTCCTGTAGGTTGACTGTAGGAGCCCGTATAGCTTTGACAAAAATCAGTCAGAAGATGACTCTTAGTGACCACGTTTTACTTTTTTCTTCTTTCTAGCACCTGAGGAGAAAGACTTGTATGTTGCAATAGAGGATGTAATACAATAGAGATAAATAATCAGATTTAATTAGTCGCATTCCCACTTAATGATGTTATGTCTAGAATTATTTTCTCAAGGGCAAATTGCTTAGGATTTGTCTTAAAGTTTCACATAGCATAACCCTAATTTGGAAAACTCTTTGATCCATGCCCAGACTTAATAAGTCGGTTTGTTAAAACTGAAGCTATGAAAATGTTTACTCAATTAATTTGAGCAAAAAAAAAAAAAAAGTCATGAATTTGCAATTTGTTGCTCACTTTAATTATAATTCTTTTTCTTCTTGTCAAATAGCACCGAATAAACATAAGATAGTTTTTTTTTCTCCTGCTGCCCTGTTGTACCTCAATTTATTATACTCACTGGTTGTAACTCTCCATCTCTCGGTTGTAAAAAAAAGAACGAAAAAAACAAACAAAAACGAGTCCCCACTGTGGTAGCCCTTCGAGTTAACATCCTCTCTGTTTCCTGGTACATTTCCAAAAGTTAAAAATGCATAAAATAAAATTCAAAGTTAGAAAACACGCCAACAGTGTTTGTGTTTCATCCTGTGCTTCCCGTTAATCAAAAACCTCCAAATTTCAAACACGTTTCGTATATTTTTATTCGAATTTCATTCCGAGAGGATATGGCACAATGTAACCACTTAATGCAGTTCATCTTACAGTGTCATAGGTAGCCAGTGATAAGAACACTCAGATTCATTGTCCAGAACAGATAATCGATCAAGAATGCATCAAAGCAAAAAATATTACCATTGTTACTGTACAGGGAGTTTCATAGTGGGGGGAGGGGAGGGAGAATAAACGAGGGATTGTCGAGGGGAAACATTCAGAGAATAGCTATTAATCGTGTATGTACATTTCAAATATACTGCATCTGAATTACATATAATGTAATATCATATAGATATATACAATGCAAACAATAAATTTATTTTTCCTATTACAAGAGAAGCCACAAGCCACAGTGAGTGAGTACACAGTGAGCACCTACATATACAAGCAAATGAAAAATTAACACCTGAATGTACATTTAACACTTGCAGCAGGCTACTGATTGCTTTTTTTAAAAGTTGGTTTCCATTTTAAATACACGTTTTCTGACCCATGAAGTTCAGACCAGGTCATAGAACTCAAACCCTCAGCACATTAGTTTTTTTTTTTTTTACAGAACACATTTTTCCCGTGATGTTAAAATTGCAAAAAGTTGTAAAGTGTGTCTAGCAAGAGAGCAGGTGAACCACCTTTTTCTCAAGGTAAGTGTGAAGCCTTATAAATTTACAGGTGAAATCAAAATGAAACCCTTGCCTCGGAGCTTTCGGCCACACTGAAACTAGTTTTAGCTTTTGTCCCCATCCTCGGTTTCCCTTCTTGGGGATTGCTCTTTTTTTTTTCTTCCTCTTTCTGGCTGCACAAGTCATTCTTCAAATCCCCTGGAACGTTTTTCCATTGTGTAAAAGTTTGGATTCAGTCACTCAGTTCCCAAGGCAAGAATCCATTTCTTCAAATGACGCACTCCAGAAATGCACATATTTATACCTTCTACCTTTGCACTTATATAATCTTAGAAACACAGTTTATAATACTCACATCTTTATAGATTTTTTATTAATCATTTTTTAACCCCAAAAAACCAAAAACCCTGGCTGTACACTGGTCAAATTCTAATTTGTAATACTACATTTGTACTTTGTACAATGATAAAAGGTTCAGATTTACAAAATGTGATAGAAAATGTATGTATATCATGTCTCTTCCATGGAATTCTGTGTCTCAGTGAGTCTTTGGAAGCTTTTTGCTGTTGAAAGAGAAAGAAGTGATGACAAAGAAATAGGTAATCACTCTGACTGAATCTGTCCTGATGTGCGTTATGATATTTTATCCAGTCTGATGAGTTCATGCTGAGGATGCCAGTTAGAAAAAAAATAAACCACCACACAGCAAGTTGCATGCACACACACACACAGACACACACGAATGAATGATGACCCCTGATCTCAACGTAAAGACACACACATAGGTTTTGCATGTAAAAGTACAATGCCTTTGAAGACAATTTAGAATACATACATAAAGGATTGGCAGTCCACTAAAAAAGCCCACTGTGCCTGCAAACTGATTTAGCTGTGGAAATTTTTACATCATTTCAATTCTTTAGCTCGTTCAGTCGAAACAGGGGACTCCTGTTAACCTAAAACTTATAGTGATGGTAGCCCAGAGCTGGCAAAATAATATCAATAAATAAATAAAATCAGGAAGGCTGACAAACACGCTCTTTAACGTGCATCACACAGCAGCACGATCCACAACTTTCAGGCCAGACACTCTGAAGAAGCAACAGGGATTTTAGGATAAAAGAGCAATTTGTTTATGTCATTCTGGATAAGGCACTTCAAATTGCTCTGTACAATCCGGCGATATAAACTTTCAGTCTCTGAATAAAATCTCACAGCATGCACAAGCTGCTGCGTCTTCGTATCTGCTTGGTTGCACAAGACTGTTGAGATTATTCTCAGCAACGGCCCCAAGAGTGAAGCCAGAGAAACCTCAAATTTAAAGTTGTCTCTGATAAACGTTGCGTGTCACATGTACTCCTTAAAAAAGGAATGTAGCCCTTTGACATAAGCCGTATGGACAGGAGCCCAGCTAGCTCTGACGGCACAACACGATATGATGACTATTACAATATAGAGAGAGACTATGTTTATTTTGGTCATGGACATCAAGGTATGTATAAATGCATTTGAAATCACTGATAAAATGCTAAAATGCTTGAAAACAGTGAGAAACTATGAATTGCGTTTGCACGGCATGAGAATGAGATGAAATAAAAGCATAGGAGCGACAGTAAACGGTGCCGTGTCACTCTGTTTACATACAGTGGCAGGTTTGGGACCGGGACACTAAAATTCTTGCAGGAAAACCTTTGGCTGACCTGCTGAGAATGGCTGGGACTTCTCCAAACATGGTCCACCTGCGGTGTGATCCTCTAGCTTTGGATTTTGTCACTGAACAGACCCTACTCTCTCCGCCCTTTCTATGTCTCACTCTCGTAACCACGATTATCTGCTGTTTCACATGTACAAAGAACACCTTGGAGCCATCAGCTTGCTTTCTCCGTTATATGGACGACAGCTGTACTCTTTCACTGTCACTATGTGTTGCACTTTCTCTCTGTCATAAGGGTGCATTCCTCACCTAACCCCCACCCACGTTGACCATTTCCAGTCAAGCCCTAATACAAGAACGTCTTTTAGTTCTCAAGTGTTTGACAACGTGGCAACAAGACCAGGATGAGTGAAATGGCTTAATGGCCCTAATGTTCAAAGTACACACGTTTATTTTGTTGGATGCATTTTGCCCTTTTCCCGCTCCGGGAGGTGATAAACTGCCATCGCCTTCCATCAAACACCTACACAGCTGCTCAAGCTGAGACCCCTAGACCACCACTTGAGCTGTGAGCCACTTAGTCTCCTGCTGGTATCACTCAAATGACAGCTTAGCAAAGATTAGTTATTCTGGAAGGGTCTTTACTCACTTCTAAGATGTGTGACAGATGTCAGACAGACATGGCTCCACTTATCATCGAAAAGGATGGCTGCTCTGATGGACGTCTGAGTTCCTGCTGGAGGTGTTTAGATAAATATGGAACAGTTAGGTTTTTTTCCCCTTCTGTTGCTCAAACCTCAAAAGCAAAATTCTGAGGTGGTTTAATTTTTTTCTGTTTTACACTACTTTGCATTTCTACTGAGAACTTTAAAAGAATGACAAAACATTTTGTGCCAATGTTAAAAGATAAATAGATATGAACGCACCACTAAGACACAATGACCTATATCAGAGCATTATAGTTCAGGTGTCTTGGTGAAAAAGAAGATTTAGAAGATGCAGAACAAGTAGAAAGATGCTGTGGGAGCCCTTGATGCCATCTTTCATGGATGCTGAAAGAAATGTGAGGATTTTCTGGGCAAGGCAGGCAATCACTTCATTGCGAATAGAGGCAGTCAGCGGGTGTTCTGTCTACGATGCAGAGTCCAGCAAAACCACTGGATCCCAGACCTGCTGAGCAGCTGCGGGAACAGTTTTGACTGTATGACACCTAAACAGTGCCATCAAGTCAATCTAACTTATGAGGGTTGCTTCAAGGAACATGGGGTGTAACATATTTCCAGATTATCTAGGCAAATTGGCCACTAGATTGTCAAATGCCTGCGAGAATGTGAAAATTGATGATTCTTTGATGAAAGGCAAATTTTAATTTGAACTAAATATCATTATTTCTAACCTTCTAATGTCTCTGAAAGTCATTTGAATAAAAATATCCATAAAAGACTGTAACTCCAAACTTTCACTACTCTCCTCTGCACTGTAATTTTGTGCTTTGACCTTCTTGTTTAATCTCTATCCCCACCCGATCGTGGCAGAATACATACTGCTGCTCGAAGTCTCAATACATATATGGACTGATTTGAAATGAACAGAGCATACATCAGTGGTGTAGTAGCTGGAAATAAGGTGATACATTGAGAAAAATGAAAGATACAATGAAATAATATATGAAAATGACTATATAAATATACATTTATATGTACATTACATTCATGGCCTTAAAAGAGTAAGAGACTATAACAGGATCAGGGTTGAGTGGAGCACTAAGTGGGGCATGGGCTTGTAGCAAGCTGAGCGTATAATGGGCAATCTTTAATCTCAAATGTAGGTGTTCCACATCGTCCCATAATCTGATCAGCCTCATGGTGAGTTTTCATTATAGGATCTGTCCCAGATTTCTCTTTAAGGAGACAGCCTTGAGTAGCTATTTGGTGCAGGCGTAATTCTTTGCAAAAAAAAGCCCACCTACCAGCCAATGTGGCAACATCCTCGTGGCAATTTCTCCTGCGTATTAATCAGATCAACTGGTGAGCGCACATTAGTATAAACGAGGATCTCGAGGCTTAAGTGATGGATGACATGTATGAGCACACAGAACATGTTGTACTGGAAAAATATATTTTTCTCCATTTTTCATTTCATTAACACAAGTGTACGTGTGTGTGTGTATATGAGTGTGTGTGTTTATAATAATTGAACAGTGGTAAAATAAAAAAAGTCACAAAACACAAAAGGTGTAAATAGCCCTTTTTTTAAAAAACAGAAAAATCACGAGTCTATGACCTGTGATCAGAAGTAAACTCCACTCATGGAGTGCACAGACAAACTCCGCATGTATACAGCCACACACAAGCGTACCCCACACACACACCTAGGTCTTCGCAATCGCAATCATCATCAGTACAGTACAGAGCACGCTGTGACATCAATCCACTAATCAGCATGATCAGATGACGTCTCCCACTCAAAGTGCCTTCCCACAGACGGTAAGAAAAAACAGCTCTGAGCTCCAACCACCTGTTTCACTCACTGAGAAGGAAGTTTCATTTCAGCGGTGAATATCTTGACAGCAAAAACACATTTCTTCATAGCTGTCATGAGCGACAAAAGAGCGACTGAGCAAGCTATGCCACATTTTTAATTTATTTTTTATAGCTATTTATAGCTACTGCAGTTGGGTCTGTTTGTTTGCCTTTCAGCTACAGCCATTTAGTTATCCCTTCTAATGGTATATGACAGACTACTCTTTGAGACTACTCTTTGGCTGTGTGCAGTGACTTCCTCACACTGACAGCAAGACAAAAATCACTGCCCCGAGATAAAAACAAACAAACAACAACAACAAAAAAAGGTAGTATCATACATAGACCCTCAGAAAACATCATGTTGTTCTTTACATCCAGTCCGATCCATTTTCTACCTCTTATCTGGATCCAAGACCGAGTGGCAGTCAACTCAAAATTGTGCAGATCTTGCTCGCCTTGGTGATTACCATGAACCTTTCTGGGGGTCTGCAGGGCATTCCCAACCAGCTCAAGTGATTTCTTTCAATTTGAAGAAGCAAGCGCTCTACTCTAAGATCCTCCTCCTCGTTGCTGTTTGCATTTACATGTGCAGATTAAATGACAGAGCACGTTAATCAGCCATTTCCCCCTTGTTTCCATTATTTGTGCTACACTAAGCTACAGCAACTGTCTCCTGGTCCCATTTTCATCTCAACAAACATGAGCGCTAATAGTCTTCCCATCCATCACTGATGTGAACGAGCATATTTACATCCTCAATGGGGATCCATCCTCAATTAGCAGAATAATGGATTTATCTGACTGGTTCAAATTAAGTTTTGCTGTTGAGTATTTTCAATCTTTATCAGCTGCTTCAGTGGATTTTAATTGCTTTTTTTTTTTTAATGTACAAATTTTGTGAGTGATTGGAGGTGTCATGATGATGATCACAGAAAGAAGGCAGGCAGAGGGCCACACGTGTGCACACAAATGCAGAGCCAGCACCCACCTACTTCTGCACTCACACACATAATTACATAGTGATATTTACAGTTATCTACAGGTATCTTTTCTGAACTTCAAACTTCTGATGTTTGTAAATTCAGTCAGCCCTATTTTCCCATTTTGAAGATTTCTTGTGTTTTCTTACAGCAGAGATATTCCTCTGCTCTTTACCTTTGTTCATTTTTCATCGGATCAGTCTCACTTCCTTTCCCCTGCTTTACACCCCCTTTTCTTTTTTAGGCATTCAGTAACCCTTTTTTGTTTACCTCACAACCTTTCTTATCTACACTGTTTCTGCAAACATATCTCAATGCAACTGGCTTCAGTTGAATTTGTGTAAAGTGCTACAACCGGTTATTGAGAGAATTTGGAAAACTAATGGCTGAATGATGGCAAAGGTACTCTTGCAGTCTTTATGATGCTTACAAACCTCTTTCATAGGCACAGATACACATGTTCATGGATGACACACACAAACACACAATCATAGACACACGACTCATCCATCTGTGGTTCCTGCCAAGCGATCTGTGTTTATCTGGCTGACCTAATATTCTTATATTGGCAGAGAAGAAGATGTTTGAATGTCTTTTTAAATGTGACATTGCACAGGGCGTAGCAGGCCGGATTAATGGTGCTGTTGATATAGCATAGCCAGTAACCAATAGTCCATACTGTGTTGGGGATACAGCTAGAGCAAAACGTGTTAATAAGCACCATCACGTTGTAAGGAGTCCAAGTGGCAACAAACGCTACCAGGATGGCCATTATGGTGCGGGTAACTTTTTTCTCCCGTGACGGTGCTGCTTTCTTCTTCTTGTTTGGAGGTTGCTTAGTCATCTTCACAATCTTCCGAGCCACATGGTTCTGCCGCTCTGAGGTTGGGACAATCTCAACAGTGGCATTAGATGGTGTGTAGCAGTCACCTTTGGGCGATTTAGTCTTGATCTTAATGCATGTCAGCTTGGAGCCCCCTGCTTTGGCTCGCTGACGTGTGATTGGCTGGTTTGTCTCAAGACTGGAGTTGGCTGTGGATGGTGCTGGTTCCTCATCCTTCTGATTGGAAGCAGCCACACTGCCAGATGTTGAGTCATTGGAGCTTTCCTTTTCCTCTCCAGGAGTACAGTTCTCCCTTGCTGCATCATCACCTTCAGTTTCTCCCTCAGCAGTGGTTGAGGAAGGCCCTTTGCCATTCTGGAGTTTTCCGTCATGCTGGTTTGCCCCATCAGCAGCATTCTGGCTTTGCGAATGCCCCGCATCTTCCCCTGGTACATTGTTGTTGTTAGATTTTGGAGTGTTGTTTCTCCTCTGGCCTGGTGAGATAGATTCAGGGATTGCTCCGGATGGCTTCCGGTTGTCCTTCTTCACACGGCTCTTGCTTGCTCTTGAGATCTGCCAGTAGAGCTGAATCATGATGATGACAGGTAGGTAAAAGGCGGCAATGGCTGTGCCAAAAGTAACGGCAGCATTGGAAAAGAACTGGATATAGCACTCCTTCTCAGGCACTGTCCGTCCACCCACAATGAACTGCCAGAAGAGAATAGCGGGCGCCCATAGGATGAAAGACAGGACCCAGGCAGCCGCAATCATCATTCCTGCCATTTTGGTGGTCCTTTTGACAGGGTAGGTGAGGGGCTTGGTGACACAGAAGTATCTATCAAAGCTTATGATGAGAAGATTCATGACAGATGCATTGCTGACAACATAGTCCAATGCTAACCACAAGTCACACACCACTGGCCCCAGGGGCCAGTAGCCAATCACTATGTAGACTGTGTACAAGTTCATCGAGCACAGTCCAATAATGAGATCAGCACATGCAAGGCTGAATAAAAAGTAGTTGTTGACAGTTTGTAAGTTCCTATTAACTTTGATGGAAAGCATGACTAGGATATTTCCAATAACTGTAACCAAACTGAGGGAACCAGCCACCAACACGATGAACACCACCTCCACAGTCTTGTAGGCGCTTTCGCTCTCTTCCACAACTTCTGTGTCATTGCCTTCAGAGGCATTCCAATATGTGAAATTGAATGCATCCATGGCATTTGGTCTTTTGTTGCCACCTCCTACTCAGATGGAACCTACAAGAGAAAAAAAGAGAGAAGATTTGTAATAAGGTGCAAAGGATGACGGTGATAGCTTCAGCATTTTAGTTAGCTAGCTAAAGACTATTTTAGATGCATATACATTGTATGCACTTTATTTTTTTCTTTTCAACTGTGAAAGCTGAGAAACCCACAGTAACTTATTTTTAACTTAATTTAGCAAGCCAAGTATTTTCTCACATATAGTCAAGGTACCTAATCCAAAATACATTAATATATGCTGATTGGCACTAAATTAAAATTAAAACAGCAAATGACAGCAGCACTTATCAGCACACTTGATAAATGTACTTTCAGAATGCTACAAAAGATGTGATGCCATCTTCCAACCTGTAATGGTACAAGTAGAGCAGATGATAATCGAGATTCATTACAAAAATGTGAAAATATGCTTCTCTAAACCATCAGTATGGGCAATATGACCCTTTCTGTTTCAAACTAGCTTTTAGCCCTCCTAAAAGCAATTCATCAGATAACAGTGGCAATTTTGGCCACACACTAATTAGCTTGATAATTGGAAGCACAGGTATCAGGCACTTATATTTTTCATAATCACTGCATGAATAACATCTACCCATTAGACACCTGCCTCATTATAGAGAAAAAAACCCAAAAGGTCCCTGAGAGGCAAAAACCTAATGCACATCAGTGACTGATGAATAATAAGATATGTAAAAATAAATCGAGGTAGGATATGAAATGAGGATATCATGATGACAGATCGCCCTGTGCCAGACTGGCGACCTGTCCAGGATGCACCCTGCCTCTCCCCCCTGTGATAGCTCAAAACACGCTCCAACTCCACCATGACTTTAGTCAATTAGCAGAAAGAAGAAGATGGCTGGATGGACAGATGGATGACGACATGGTCATGGTAATAGAAATGTTCACATATAGGACTGTTTGTTTAATAAGCAAATCCTTTTTAATGCACATATAAACAAAGGATAAATAACTTTCATAAATTATTCCTTTTAAACCAATGTCTAGTACAACATAATTTTACTTCAGTCAAGAGTCAAACTCACTCTGAAACCCCTTTATGTCAACTGATCTCAGTGCCTGCTAGCTTCAGTGCATATCTCAACACATCTTTGAACATCCTAGTGGTAAAATAGAACATGCTGAGCCCACATAGAGTTTAGCTCATCTTTGCTGCTGCTTCTGCAAGCTGCTTTGCAACCCCCTTACAATACAATTTCTCACTTAATGTCATGTCTGTTGTCACTGATACTTGTTCAATTTTATCTTTGAGATCTTTGTGTATGTGTATGTCAGGGGGAGGGGAGGCCTCAGGACAAAGCCATACCTCTAAATCGTAATTGCTGCAGATGATTGATAGCCATTTTTATGCCACTGTTGTGGTCCCAACTGGACTGAATTTGGTTAAACATGCAACAACATACCTGTAATGTTTTCTTTGCTATTTTTTAAAACCATGTACATATAAAAATGTATTTATTTATTAATCCCCAGTGATTAAAGCTTACTAGGTGTTAACACTTTGATGGATACACTTTCAAACTAATACAGTAATACCTAATGACTAGTTTGGGGCTTGAATTATTGTCCTTTCATGTCTTCTTCATGTGTTTCTAAACCCATATATTAGCTAATGATGTTTTATTTAAAATTACTATTCCTTTAAACCAAGGCAGGGTTGCTGCATACATTCTTAAAAAGAGCGAGGAACTGTGTGATTATACACTACACACATCATGTTACCAAGAGTTCAATGAAAACTTTAAAAGGAATTATTGACAATTTGAGCTAGCATTTTAACTTCAAAGACATTTTCCAACTTGCATTTAAAAATTCTTTTCATACAGCACTATAAACTTCTTTGGATTCCCAAGTGACCCACTAGTTCTCCCTTTTAATCTTAAACACTCATCGGTGTTGTAGACCTTGCTTTGATTTTAAAAGCACTGCTCAGTTCTGCGCATACTGTGCTAGAGTCTTTTGAAATTATGAGTGATGTGTCTTAAGGTGGGTCAAAATTCTTTGAGTCATTTCAGTTGCTTTTTTGCAGATTTTATGGCACTTGGTGACCTGTTTAGTGTTTTTACGCAAACACCTTAATGTACTCAAACTTTGTTCAGCCTCTGAACTGAAGGTTCAGGTATTAGTGGTACTCTTTTGCTGTGATTTAAAAACCAACCTTAATGTTACCCAATACGTTTCTTGACATTGCAGTAAATATAAATCAAAGCATATTTGACTAAAAACTGCTAGATAAATCACCAACACATACCCCTGTCCATACAACACCTTGAATTTAATTACACAAGACAGAAAATCAAATTGTTTGTTCTTCGGGGATAAATGCCAAATCTGAAAAGTGTAGACAAACTGGAAAATCTGTCTCACTCATTTGTTTAAGAACACACACCTACAATCCTCTATCATATAAAGTAGTGTAGCTCTCTTCCAAATTTCCTTTCATTCAGCTTTCTTCAGTCTACATTTAAGCAGTCTTTACATCCAAGTTTTTTTCTTGAATACAGTTTAATGTAACAAAAGGTTAGTGACCAATCCGATCATTTCTCTGTGACGCTTCTCCAGCTTGAAAGCTGTCTTGTTCAAGACTTTGCCATTTTGGTCTAAGGTCTTTAACCGTTGAGCCCAGTGAGTAACTAGTGAACATTCACTTATCTGCTGTGCCAGAAATCCCTAATCATTGCATTAGGCATGGAGCTAAGCTTGTCTAATCCGCATAAAATGTTTAAGTCCACCGATTTACATTCAAAAACACTAACAATACAAATGGGACACACTTGTGACTTGCTTCAGCCAAGTGGATTAGAGAAGTAAAGGGGATCAGTATAGATGGTCATAGCACTGTTGAGACAGTTAACTCCCCTAGCTGCTCTTTGTCCACCTCTAGCTGCCATAAGCTATGTCCCCCACCTGAAATCTCTTCCACAACAGGGCAAAAGCTGGGCCCCTGCTAGAGTCAACTAAAAATGCACAAATCCTTTTTAAGCTCAATGTGGGCAGCCATGGTTTTCCAAAAGCAGACTTAGGGGCCCAGACTTGGTTTAAAAGCATCACTTTATTTAAAGGAAGCCATTAGACACCCCTTCCAAGGAAACCCATTTATTTACTTTAGCTTTACTGTTGTGCTTTTAGCTGAAAACCTCATTAAACATCTTTATCTTAGCTCCTTAAGAAGAATTGAGGAACATTAATAAGCCATTACTGAACAGAAGCAAGATGTTTTTGCTGTAGTGTGACTGGTAGACATACTGGCACTGCAGCCTGCTGAGCAGCAGTTCAATTGTCGTCACCTGGGGAGAGCAGCAGTGGCACTCTTAGCATAGCTATCAATCATGGAGCTTACCTGCAACTCTCAGTACTACAGTAGTCAGGTACCACTGCATCCGACAGAGCCCAATCAAAGCATGAGTGGCACCTCAGACAGATGAATATTCAGATATTTTTCACTTATTCTGTAAAGTTTTTTAAAGGATTAACATAATCAGTCACAGATGATGTAATAAAAAATAAGTTTGTTGTTTGTTGTAATTTGTGCTCTGCAACTCAGAGAATTAAATGTGTGTCAGTGGGTCCAGTAATCCTAAATTTGCTACTTTTGTTTAAATTGTTTTTATTTAAAAAAAGGTGACAAGTCAGTTGCTACCATGGGAAGACATGACTAAATGAGCTTCAGTATTGTTCTGCGTTCAGATGCTGGTATTCCTAGAGCTGGCTCACTAGAGCTGAAAATTGCGTATGCCCTCTGGGAAACAGAGAGGGCCAACCTCTCCCTTTCACGTCTTATGTCCTCACTCTGTCTCTTCTGCTGGACTCCAGGCTAGCCAGATATAACAAAAAAAAAAAGCCCAAAGTGAAGCCAGAAACACTCGGTGCATTTAACCCTAAGTTAAAGTTTGTGATTTAAAATTAATCAGAAAATAACTAATCACTTACACAATAGTTTTGCCAGAGACAGACAACAAATGTGGCTTTCTGTCCGCATGGCTTCAACCAAAAATATATAAAAGATTGCTTCCAAATGTTCCACCATTGTAGCTGAACTTAAACTGATGCATTTGACTGCTCCTAGCGTCCAGATTTCCAGCCCCCATCTCTGAGCACTGATCCCAAGCAAATCCCAGGGCACTTGCACCCTGCTTTCTGTGATTATATGCAATTTCATTGCAGGCCCTCTCCATGGGAGCGTGCAAGGTTAGGCCTTCGTTTACTTGCTGTTTGCACAGAAGCATGACTGGAATGTAAAAACCCCGCATTGCTACAGTCCAGCTCATCCACGGGGGTACAGATTTATTTAGCCCTATTGTCAGGGGTTATACCAGTTTACTGAAAAAGACAGTTTTCAAAAAGAAAAATCACTGCTTTTTTTGCTCATCTAAGTTTGAGGATTCTTTATTTTGGGCAAAATGAGCAGACGCCTTAAAAAAAAGAAACAAAAAACAAAGAGAAGTGTTATAAATACAGCTTTAATAATAGGTAATATGTGAGCAGGTTAAACGGGCTCCTATCTTTTTGGAATCAGATTTTAGGTTAAGCTAAGCAGGTTTAGTTGGGATTAAACATTTTTGTTTTTTTGCCTTTTTGTAAACTAATCTTCAGTTGAGTTGTGATTCAGACAGGGATACTGACCAAGATGGGAGATACACAGAGACACAGAAATGCATACAAATATTTTTTTGGGGAAAAAAAAAGTCCAGCAGGAAATGAAAACTGTTCTGATAACCATCAAAACAACACAGCATCCCAGTGTTCTGATGGCTACCAAACGATCCAAATCTTGAGCTGGAGTGTAATTACAAATTTGCATTCATTTCCTCAGGCCCCTTCGACTGTCTCAGGGATATCAGACTGTGAGTTATAGAGCTTGACAGATGCCTGTAGAGATTCAGAGTAAATATTTATACTGTGAATGATCAAAGCTCTTTGCTAATCCATTTTCTGTGATTTATTGGATATTGGATCTCTGTGGTAATCCTGAT